GAGATACAAATGGAGCAGGAGTTAATTAACTGAATACGAGAAGCTGCTTGATAAGAGTGGATAATAAGGAGATTACACAGGCACTAGCTTGTTTGTAGTTAACCATTCAAATGTTTGCTTTATTTATAAACACCAATATTCGAGGTTATGAGAACAGGTTGACATTTCGTCAACAAATCTTGTTGAATTTACCGTTTACCCTTGTCTATCTTATTGTCAGTCTGTATAATTCCATGGTTACCGGAGTTTCAAATAATTACGAAGCAACAGGTATTTGCGCAATGTTAATTAGGGAGATTACCTTGAAAAACATTGCTGCCGTATTTCTGATATAGTTTTTAGCAAATTTCTCAGTTTTTAATAACAATTAATTTCTTTTACTATTTTTTCTGTACTCATATAACAGCGCCAGACAACGCCTCCAGAGGAATGACGCCAATTTTGAATCACCCTGTATAAGTCAAACTTGCAGTTTTTGTGAATTAGTGGATTAGAAATAAACTCCCGACAAAATTTTCGACTGGTTATACTTGAATCACAATGCGTCTTCCATCAATCGCGCCAACACAATGGGGTAACTGTCACAGTTCCTCGAAATCTCGCAATGCCCTTCCAAGATTATCCATTGATCGTTAAAAGTACATTTTGGGGCAAGCATTCCCGCAATGCATTACACTTAATTATTTTGGATACTGTATTATGGGCTATTCGGAAGGAATAATTTATTGTTATCATACGGTCTCTACTAGCAAGATACCTATACATATGTGTGCGAATGTTTTATTTTCAATTCCTTCCTCAAGCCTCTATTAATAGCACAAGCACCGTAATGTCGATGAAAGTGATTCACTAGGTGATATTGGTTCTCTTATGTGATTTATTTTGGTCAGTCATGGTCCAACAATTGAAAGCAACTTTTCGAAATTTTCGTTCGACATCCTCAGATAATTAAAAAATATATCTTTGTCGCATAATTTCATTTTTTGAAGTAAATGATAATAATCTTGCGATTTTCGGTTTTTAAATATATTTCGATCCCAAAATCTTCTCCTTTTTGTCATTTTATTTCTGTTTTGTTCTCTAGCCCATAACAATGATAACAGAAGCACTGTGTTAATTCTGTTTTGTCGTAAAAGGGGAGTTTCCATGACTAAAACTTTTACTAAAAACTGTTAGAATATATTGACGTCAAATTCGAATAGTCGTAAACAATGAATGTGAGGTTAAAAATCATAAGATTGTGGTTGATTGTTGAACACCGTTGCCAGACGTGTATCACAAGATCATCGTTTTTTTTGTTTGCCGGGCGGCTGGAGGAATAAAAAACCTTCGCGAAAACACCCAGTGTTCCGAACCCTGGGTATTGCTGTATCCTTACCAACTAAAAAAACCCCTTTTTGTACTACGAGTTTCGGGAGTTATCCTTTAATCCCCGTATGCACCGACAGACTTTAGTCGGGATTAAGCCTTAAACCGGTTTAAAAATCGTAAACGGTATACACCGTCAACTGTTTTGACCATAAACGCGTTTAACTGTAATCCGCCCACGTCCGAGGATTAAGCTCTTAAACTGGTTAAACATTAAATGTAACAACTTTTTTTTTTTTAATAAAAGAATTTATAATTTGAAAACGGTTGATTTCACAGCTTAAAGTGCAAATGCATATTTGTAACTTTGTAAATTGTCTAATAACGTATTAAAACTTTCATTTGAAAAACAAAAGTTATATTGCGTTAAAAAGTTTTAGATTGAAGTTCACATTGTTAACACGCTGTACAATGTATTGTTATTTTGGTTCAATAGAATTCTTGACGGATCTGTGGTGATTGGAGACGTATTTTTTTGTATCTTTAACTGCTTCTTTTTGCTTCTACTGTGAATTTTTAGATACCATGTTTTTAAGCAAAATTTTAGTAAAATGGCGATAATCTACTAACGTCGCATGTAAGAAAAAAACAATTTACGGTGCATATGCAGCGTTTTAAGCTGCATTTCATGAGCTAATGAATAATGGGTAGTTCAACTTAAAAAAAATACACTTTGATCTTGCCTCGCGCTTTTCTGAGACACTCTGTATCATATAAGATATTTTTTAAATGTGCGCACTTTGTGCGTCAACGACTTTTAGATGAAACCATTTTTCGAAAGTTCAACACCAACAGAAATAATGGACTCTCTCGCACTAAAAAACCACCCTGTATATGCAGGTATATTTCCATAACTATTGAAAAAATGTAAACAAATTAAGTGAATATGACTACAAATAATATGTTTTTTATTATGTTCAATGCAGGTACATTCATAAGTATGGATGGAAATGTTACAATAATTACAAATGAATTTGGTGTTTTTAAAATTTTTGTCGTTAGGTAGTGGCGAAAAGGCATTTTGTGCTGGTGGCGACGTCAAAGCCATAGCCGAAGCTGCCTTCAGGGGTGAAAAGTTGGGTCACGAATTTTTCAAAAAAGAATACACTACAAACGGTCTGATTGGCAACTACAAAATACCTTACATAGCTATTATAGACGGTATAGTAATGGGAGGTGGTGTAGGATTGTCCGTGCATGGGCAGTACCGGATAGCTACAGAAAAAACGCTCTTTGCAATGCCCGAAACACAAATTGGGCTTTTCCCGGACGTCGGCGGTTCCCATTTTTTGTCCAGGTTAGCGGGTCGACTTGGGTGGTACCTCGCTTTGACGGGAGTGAGGCTCAAAGGAGTTGATGTACTAAAAGCAGGTAAATCACGACGATCAGGTAATGAAGACGAAATGTTAATAAGCTGAATTATTTGCAGGAGTTGCAACACATTTTACTGATAGCACGAACCTCAAGAAGTTGGAGGAAGAACTCTTAAAAGCATCTAATGAAAATGACATAAAGTTGGTTGTAAATAAGTTTCATGTGGATGACAAGTCTGAATTTGCACTGGCACCTTTTCGGGAAAAAATCGATTATTGCTTCTCTGCTCCTACCGTGGAAGAAATCTATTCTAGGCTAGAAAAGGACGGTTCCAAATGGGCAGAAGACACTATAAAATTGTTAAACAAAATGTCCCCCACTAGTCTAAAAATTACATTCAAAGAACTGGAACTGGGAAAGCAATTAAATTTGATTAATTGCCTACAAATGGAATACAGACTGGCGGTAAATTGCGTCGATGGGCATGATTTTAGAGAAGGTAGCGTAGTGAAAACATACATACTTATAAAACATAAAATTAAATTTTATTTGTATTTTTGCTGGCATTTCTTACTAGAAATGTTCGTTTAAATTGTTTGGGTAAATATCAAGTAGATTCAAATGAAAAGTTAAACTACACTGCAAATTAGTATATGCGAATCCGCATTAAGGCTAAAGTGCTCTTAATTTTGACTGCAGTCACAGTCAGCGATAAGATACACTTCTTAAATAAGTGTCGCAACCGATGACGGTAAATTCCTCATTAAAAAACGCTTTACCGAATCCATTTTTCTCTCCGTGCTTTGGTTCTTGAGATATAGGGCTTCAAGAATTCCATTTATAGCACATTTTTTATCAGGAATTTACAGTTTCGTTTGCAACACTTATTTAGGAACACATTGTATAGCATCGGAATTACTTGTTTTTAGGTTAAATTAGATTTAGATACGAATTTTAGATTCATTTTTAGCTGCAATTTAAAACGTTCCTTTAATAGTTATTTTAGGCTTGATATAAAGTCCACATTATTCTTCGACTATTTGTAGGTGTGAGAGCCTTGCTTATTGATAAAGACCAAAATCCCCAATGGGTTCCGGCTAAATTAGAAGACGTGACCAGTGAGATCGTCGATAAACACTTCGAAAAATTACCTGAAGAAATGGAATTGAAACATAAGTTATAATGTTTATTACTTTGTAATTGTTGATTTTTATTTATGTATTAAATTCGTTTTTAAATATCTATAAATATTTTTACGTAACTACCTATTTCCCAGAAACTCGTAATATACATAGACATATTCTTGACAAAAATATCGCGTTTTAGTCAAATTTGTCTTATCTCAAAGTAAATAGTTTTCGAGATACAGGATGTCAAAGGGTAAATAAAATTTTTGTTTAGATTTTTAACCAGTGTTACTATGACCACAAAAATTTGTGTTTTGGAGTTTATTATAGGTATCGACAAATACAAATTTTCTATTACTTAGCTGGTAGAAACACGAGGGAGTCAGCTGCAATATTCAGGACCCATTTAAAACATCAGAACTTTTTTGGATTTTAAAATATCGCTTTTTTGTTGGCCGAATTTCGTTTTACGATATTTTCTAAACAAAAATAATAATTTAAATTAGATCTCTAAAGAAAAGAAATGTTCCGCTCATATTTTCAATAAAGCAAAACTTAACAAATAGCAAAACATTATTTATTTAGACACGTTAATAACTATTTTAACCCCAGCACAGACTTCCAAAATTATTATTTCATAATAATTTGTTGAACCTGATCTCTTCTGGCTCCAAGACATTTTAATAAATGATTGTCGTATTGATAAAAAAAATGTTCCGGAAGTTTTCTTTTCTGCAGCATTAAACTTAGCTTGCGCATAAACACCAACTATATCGCGCATTTCTTCATGCGAAAAAAAAGTCCGGGCATTTTCAATAAATTGAAAGTAATAATAATAAGATTTAATAATAATAGATTTATTTAGATGGAAAACGTCAGGTATCGGAAAAAAACCGAATAACTAATAACTACATAAAGTAACATATAACAAAACTACATTTTAAGCTCTCATCTCTGTCCCATGCATCTGTTTATACGAAGGTGTTTCAATTGGTTGAAGATCTGTCAATTCGTCCTCCGTCGGACGAACTGACAAACCAATAGAAACACTTTCGTATCATCGTATACCTAAACGGATGTATGGGACATGGGATTTTCACATGAACAGGCTTTGCAATTTTAGTTTCTCTATTCGCGAGTTCAAACGTGCAAACTCTGCCTGGTGGCTAAAATTACAACTACCAGTTAACTAGTAATTTGACATTGGTGGTTTGTTTTGTTCTAATCAACTTTTGCAAGCTTTTGATTTTTGTTTTTTTTATTCCATTCATTGCACTCTTACTCTTACAATTGCAACTCTCACTTTTCGCTTGTTTACCAATCCCTATAGATAGACAAGTCGCAACTGTCACTCGGCAACGAGTAATTTGACGTTTCGCAGCGCCCCCATAGATGGTTGAACTCGCGAATTGTACACCATTTCAACATGACGAATGTGTTTGCAAATTGAGTTGTTGATGAGGAAATCATTGAAGGTGCATGAGTACTTGTGATAACAAATTTTACAACCATTAGATATACATGAATTTATTCCTTTTCGATCAACTTTCACTAAGAATTTTTTCTACATAGAGAGATACATTTTTCGAGATTTCACATTGGCAATCCTGATCTCAACTAGAGACGCGGTTTTATCATTTTTATTTTCATGAAATTCAACTAAAGTCACTTGAAAGATCAGTCCTTTGTCTTAATAAAATGTTTCTTGTGTGAATCGTAGGTGTTTACCTTTTGTTTTCATAATTATCCGGTCAACACATTTGTATCTAAGAAATTTTAGGAGCGCATGCAAACTTTTATCTAATCTCTACTATTTTACCATGTAAATAGAAATATTTAATTATTTTATGCATTGATTAAACGCATATTCGTATTTATTCCACAGTGTTTCCTAAAACAGTAAGCCCACTTTTCGCAGTTTTTGATATAGTTATTTTTAAAATAAAGTTTAGTCCAGAAGTCTTGAGTGTCAGGATCTGAAGGCATTTGTAAAATGAAGTTTTGGAGAAATTCAGGAAAAACATCCACACTGGTATTCTGTTGCAAACACTTGATGACTTTATAGAATTATTTTTTTCTTTATTGCTTATCTTTGATACAATTTGTTGTCATGCACGGTCAATGTGCGAACCAGCATCTTCCTGTAGTTTGCCAATAAAATACTGCAATTTTTTCTGAATCCATACTTTGCTGCAATATTTTGAGATATTTATACACCTACTTACGAGTGTCCGTATTTTTAGTTTTTGAAATAGTTTTTGCCAAGATCTATCAATATGCCAAGAGCAATATAGTTTATGCTAAACACTTCCCATGATACCCACACTTTAAAAAATACTTCTGTAACATCACTCATAAAAGTTTTAGCAATAATAATGTCTACAGTTTCTTTAATCTTTTCATAAAAGACATGATTTATAAGTGTCGTGTCTATTTGTAAACATACAGCAGATTGGAAATCCTTCTCCAAAATCATCTATTACCGTTACTGTCGTAAGCTCAAAACCATAATTGTTCAGACCATGGGTGCTATCAATTGCAACAATATTTTATATATTATATTATCCGAGAAGTTTGTATGTGCTTGGCCATGTCTTTTATAAAATAATACAGAATGATTATCTTCAAATTTACACTATTCTAGCCACATATGCTCAATGCATCATTTTTATGCTTTACACCTTCTGTTATAGTTATTTTATAATCTCTTTGTATATTTAAAACGTCTCGGTTTACCATCGTACAACCAATATTGGTCCTATACGTATTAAGAATTCTAGAACAAAAAAATACTTACATCTAGTTACAGCTAGTAGTTGTAGCAAACTTACCGTGATGGTGCAACTCCTGATATGAACTTTGCAGCTATATTTTCCTGTCGGTTCTAGGAAGCATCATATGTTGCAATTCATTGTCGTATCCATAATGAGATTTCATCCTTGTCTTCATCTATGATTTTATTCTAATCATAGATATGGTAGAATCAGGATGCGTGGTTACGGTTATTTGACTTGTGCACGCTATATTAATTTTTCAATTTAAAGACCCCTGCAATAAAAAAAACACTTACCAAATATTCTAAATGTAAAAGTTTAAGTAATTCTATCACCTTATAAAAATACGTATTACTTTACCAGACCTATTACATTTGTAATCGGTTACAACATCGCCCGATGATCTAAGTTTTGCTCCGCAAGCAACAATGTAACTCTCTCCAGACTTCATCTAATTCTGTTCTTCTAATCTGTTGCTTCCAAGACAGAAACTCTAGTAATAAAAACACGGTTATTATACTTATTAGGCAATTAACTTAGGGTAAGTAGTAATACGTTATTTTATTTGTTCTGGTAAGATTTCATCTTACTTTGTAGTGATAAAAATTCTTTTTCTTCCGACTCAATATTAACTAAGTGTTTTGTTTGCAAATGTTTAATAAAATCATTGGTTTTTGCGGAAAATTTGAATGTTTGTTGTTTCGAAATTTAATAATACGACAGAATCCAGACTTAAGCACCTCAAGGTAGGTGAATATATTTTTAATTACTTTGTGGCGGTGTAGCGGATAGTGTATTAAGAGGCTGCTAGTGGCAAACAATCGTGCGAGGGACTTTCAGCGGCCAGGATTCGTTCGACTATTCCCGTTTTTTTGCTCTCCAGCACCCTTCAGGCTGTAGGTGGTCCAGATCAAGATTATAACAGAACACGGAAGTTCGGCTTCCGTCTGTTCTAAAATTTACAGTTTTTTATTGATACTTTAAATGAATTAGACCACTTATTTTTTGTTTTCTATGTACTTGTTGATTTTTTAAACATTTTTTGCAGCTTTGAACTATATTTTATTATGTCATTTAGGTAGTTATCTTGCATGCACATATTTTTTGCAACAAATATTAAAATAACTAAAAAAATAAAATAAAAACAAATATTAAAATAACTATATAAATAAAATCAACGCCGACAGAACACAAACATTAATGATTACAAATAAACAAACCAACAAACACATTACGCTTAATAACAAAGACATCGCCTGGTCCAAACAAATGAAATATTTAGGAATTACATTAGACAAAAAACTAACTTTCATCCTCCACATTAAAGACAAAAGTACCAAAGGAAGAGCGGGTAAAGCAGCCCTTCACCCCTCTTTAAACGAACAAGCAAATTCTCCCTTAAAAACAATCTCCGCATCTACAAACAAGTCCTCCGACCACAAATCCTCTATGGGGCCTCAGCCTTTATCCAAACTTGTAAAACTAACATCTGAAAAATCTAAACGCTCTAAAATAAAGTTATCCGATCAATCTCCAAAGCCTCCTGGTACGTACAGAACCGGGACATCCACAATAAAGACTTCAAAACGGACACAATGCATCAATTTTTGGCCAAATAACACACGAAATTCAAAAACAAAGTTCTTAACCACCCAAACCCGGGGGTCCGGATACAATCAACTTTTGCCACCAACTCCTTCAAGACCCCCTTAGAATGGGAACTAACAACATAAAATCAAACTCCCCCCATACTAAAATAACCTCTTATAGCTGTCCTCAACCCGCCCAACCAAGCCCCATTTTTTCCTCAATTACTCGTTCTCTTCAAACATGCAGAGGCACAAGGGTAAGGGGGTGCACCATGCACCTATCAATACTTCAGATAAAAAATAACTCAAAAAGGAGTAAAAGTTCGTAAGAACTAACTCTGGGAAAAAGATCGACAACACGCATTCAGTTAGCTGGGCTCCGTCAAAATCATGGATCATCCTCGTTTTCTAGCAAATTTTGCAAAAGCCAGTCCTGTTAGCTGATCGTCATCTTTGTGGCGCAAGTCTGGATCTATAACTAAACAGGACAACATTTATGCACACTTTGTACAACAAGAAATTCTCTATGTGTTTTTCACAAAATACATAAGCAATATCTTCTTCTGTGCATAAAGTTTCCATTATTTTTTTTTAATTCTATACCCTGTGATTAGTTTAGGTATTAGGAAGAAAATAATATTACCTATATGCCTAAAGACTCAAAAAATGCTGAGACGGATGGAATAGATGTCGATCATCATTAAAAGACGCCCGATCTTGGTTGAGTAACGATGTTATGAGGATCAGCTCGACTCCATTTGTTTTAGTTTTGGCAATGCACTTACGATGAAAAAAATCCCACGACACCAGCAACATATGGGGTAGCAAAATCACGCATATTGTGACAAACGAGGCCTTCAGCTGTCGAATAAATTGGTATGGGTATCTGCAAATGTTCAACAGAAAGTGATGCAATGCCCGTACCATCAAAAGATTTAAAATTACAATTAGATTCACAATTAGCCCCAACAGAATGTGATGACATAAATCCCTTTATTACCAGGGCTATTAGTAGATGACATAAAAAAAGAACAATTAGGTTTGGTGCTTCTGATACCATGGCTCAAAACAATATGTATACAGCGTAATTCCAAATAGTATGTATACAAAAGGGTCGCACAAACTTTTGTTTTTGGTTGAGACTTCTCCCAAACATAGCGTTCGAAAACAAAATTTTTAATATAGAAAAAAGGGAACGAAAGTTACCAGATTTGCTTGGATCACGCGAGAACGCTGTTTTACTGGCTGTGACGTAGAGTGGCACAAATCCTATGCTAGTTATATGCCCATAACCAGCAGAATGTACACTTGCATATTGCATAGGAGCAAGCTAAGCGTCTTTAAGACATTAACATTTAAGGCATAATAAATATAATTTATTATGCCATCTGGGATTGGCGATATCGATACTTTATGGTATTAGCTTTCTTGTAATCTGACCATGTAAGAGCTTGTTTGACTGGATCTTCCGGCTTCTGAATTTCAATTTCTCAATAATCGATTATGGCGTAAACTTTACTATAATGTGCACCAAAAGTTATAGGTTTTTTAGACGTTTTTTAACTTTAATAGGTGGCATCCAGACTATTAAAGTCTTTAACATCTCGTTAATTAATGGAAGGGATTTTGCAAAAATTATACTCATTGTCCCCACTTACGGAAAATTCAAAATTATGACCTAGTTCAGCAAAAGTTTTGTCAAGGCAAATTTTTCGAAGAACTAGGTAAATATTTACGAAACCCAATTTTGTAGTGTCTAAGTAGCTTAATAATAAATAAAGCTTTATTTATACCCAGGTATAATCTTGCATCTAAAGCGTCTAAAGCGTCATTTATAATGTTAAGTCTATTACGTTTCAAAACTACGGCTGGTACAAGAGCGTCATTTTCCACTCCATAAAATTTTCCATGTCTTTTTCAAGCTGTGAAATAAAATAAACAAAAATTGGTGATAATGAAGCAAAGGTGAAACCTAAATCTAACGAACACACAGGGTTAAGAACCCTATAAATATTATTGCTTTTATGCCAACTTACATCGAAATGATCCTCACAGGCATAAATGTTACTTTTTGTAGAAAGATCGGTGCAGTTTCGCCGCGCTGCTTTCAACCACAGTTTCCGTTTCTTTTCGTTCAATGGCACTTGCAAATGTTTTCCTGGTGTAGACGTAGTGGTACTTATACACTGTGGCACCATACAGTATTTATAAGCCATTTTACTTTCAGTAATTGAGAAACAAGCAAACCAACACACAATAATCACATTAGAGCATGGAAACACGAATAAGCGCTGAATGTGGCGGAGCAGAATCATGCTTCGCGACGTCACATTACGATCAGCCAAAACTCGTGGTTTCGGCGCGCTTTGTGTAAGTTTAAACTTGGGCTGCTGAGATTTGTTACGACTAGACAGAATGTGAAAAAAATAATTGTAGGGCCCTTCTTTGTTCGTCAATAATCAACTTTATGAAAGAAAAAAAAATGTGCAACGACCCCATTATGTATAACAGTATATGTACTTACGATGAGCCTCGACACTAGTTGTCGACCGCATCTGCATCTGCGGGATCTTTAAGCATTTCGAATTTTAGAGGTTCCAGCGGACGTTTTTTTCCCGGATATACTTTCTCCGGAATTAGAACTGCCTTTATCGGACTAGTTCCGGTAAAGGTAGATTTTGTAGCTGTGTCCACCACAGAGACATCATCTGTATGTATAGGACATGAAATAATAAAATAATCAAATTATTTCATTTAAAGATTAGCATACCCTTTATTTTTTGCGGGGATTTAAATCCCTGCACAAATAATGTTTTTTTGAGAAAGCTAGAGTCCATGGAAGCATTATCTTTAAAACCTACGAAATGTACATAAGAACATGCGTATAATAATAAATGTGTTTATATATGAATCTGTAGGAAAATTTAAGGTTTGAATTATACCGTAACGTAATAAGCCAGTGCATATTATTTAAGTACATACCTGGAAGTTCTTTAGTAGGTAAAGAGCGTAATTTTCCGTCCGGACGGAAACACACATTATGAAAATGTCGAGCACAGACCACATAGTGCCCATAGTCTAAGTGAGGGACCATTAGAATTTGTTATTGTTATTAAATGCTCATTTTTAATGCGGCGGATCCAAATATCTCGAACATCATCAGTCCTAGGCAAAGTATATCTGAAAATGTTTTACTTTAATCATTCATTTCAGTGCAACCATGCATAACAAAAAGTCTGACTCCGAACCAAATTATTTTGTTTACTTTAGAAAATATAGCGTTTGAATTACGTTTAACTCTATTTAAATTTGCACAATAACAAAACATTTTATAAGACATAATTATACCGTAATTACCGTCTTGCACATTTTTATATTTGGGCTCATATTTATTTTTCGTAACGATTACTATGGATTTTAAATTTTCGAAATTTTTCGGTTACAAACATCGATATTGATACAGACATACCAGACATACGCAACAAGGTTACAATCAGCCCTGTGCTGTATCACTCACGTTAACTTTAACGTGCATGTTATCCGTCAAACACGTTATGTGGCTCCAACTGGTGTGTTGTATCAGT